GTAACAAGGGGTATCCTGGGAGCCACCTTATTGTAAGGGGGCTTCTAGATTCTGATAATTCCCGCTGCAGAGCCCCACATCTACTGTGCTAGGGTTGATAAGGAAAAGGTGCCTTGCAGACTAGAAGGTTTTACACCTTACCCACCCCACAAGTTACCCACCCATAGTTGAGGATGTGGGCCTGCTATGGTTCAGGGGTGCATCTTTGCTCCCCTTTCCTGGTGGGCCAGGCTAAATGCCTGCATAAGTGTCTGGTATGGATTTTGAGGGGGACCTCAGGTCATTTTTTTAAGCAATGGTAGAGATACACATTTTTGTATGCAATGGTGGAGATTTTCTAAAGGGTGCACATAGAATCTGGTGCAGCTGTGCATAGGAACCAATCAGCTTCTAACTTCAACTCGTTCAATTATGCTTTGGTAATAAAACATAGAATCTGATTGGTTACTATGCACAGCTTCACCAGATTCTGTGTGCACCAGTTTTAGTAAATCATCCCCAATGCATACTATCCTTTTTCTGAGAAAAAACAGCATTGAGACTCCCTTAAAATCCATGCCAGAACCTATTCAGTAGATTGACCCAAACCAAAAGCCCATCCCTATTCTTCAGCACAGTAAGTTTTTCCAATCCAGAAAGAAGTGTTCAGGGCTATGTTGTCCCCTGCAACAGCTTCTCATCTCATTTTAGTGTAAGCAGCAACAGCTTACATTAGGGACAATGCTGCTTTGAATTCCTCAACAGTACTGTGGAGTTGGCCCCAGTGCCAGGTCAAGGTCATCTAGCACCCAGGGAAAAGGTGCCAAATGGCTCCACCCCCCAAAAAAAAAGTATGAGTATTATGTGTCAGAAATCCCCCCCCAAAATAAATGTGAGAACTACTCTTCACACTGACCCCTAACATAAATCCCCTTTGCAAAATTCTCCTCAAACATAAATTCACTTTCTTCCAGTACAAATCCCTCCTCTCAGCATCAAATCCTCACCTTCCACAAATCCCCCCTCCTAGCACAAATCCTCTACCCCTCATATTTTCCTATTGAACATAAATCCTCCCCCCTCTACAAATCCCCCTCTCACAGCACAAATCCCCCTAAATCCCCTAATCGCCTAGCACTAGCACTAATCCCCTCCCAAATTTCCCCTCCTAACCCCCCCTCCCGGTCATCCCTACTAGCACAAATCCCACTTCCTAACAGAAATTTAGTTTTGGATGAAGAGCGGAGGGATAAGTACACTTGATGCAGTTTTTATTGCTGTTTATCCCCCCGTTAAGATGATTTACTCCCTCTATCCCTCTTGTCCTGTTTACCATTTTTATTGAAAGTAAAAGAAAAACCCACATTTTTTGTTTTCCCCAGAAATGTACTAGACGGGACATCTTCCAATGAAGACACTAGTTCTGGTGGCCTGGGAGTCCCCAATGAATTCTCTTAATTTGTAGGGATTTCCTCTCACTTCCTGTTTTGTTTCTGGAGTTATAACCCTCCCTTACTCTCTAATCTAAAATTAAAAAAAAAAGCTTTGCCTATAGTTCTACCTTAGGTGCTGCAGCTTTTTTTTAATAGGAAGCCATAGTTTTATTAATTAAAGAGTAAAGATTGACAAATGGAAGTGGACTGAACCCATTTACTAAAGGCTCAGAATTTAATAAATCAGTAGAGCATATTAACTTTTACGTGAATTTTCACTTGGTGTAGGGAAGCAGGCAAAGACAAAGTAAAATATAGTCAACACAGCTTCACGTCTTTTACTAAGCTAAGTGAAAATGTAGTTTGCAAAGTGAAAATTCACTTTGCTCAATCAACACCTGCCAAGCCTTTAGTAAATCAACCCCGCTGCTTATAAAGAGATTTCAAATTTGATTTTGGCTAGTATGTATTTTTTAAATGACTAAATATTTGTTTCTTCTACAAAGCACATTAACTACATGCATCTTTTTGATTTACATTGTATTCTACAATATTAAATAATCATGCTGCAGTTGTGGCTGAAAGGGACCACTTATTAATGTGATTTGGTATTATTTGGTTGCCTAGTGATGAATTTTTTATCTTTCATTAGCACTTACTTCATCGATGTCAGTGTCAGTATGTAAACTCTAACTGTGTGTTACTGTATGATGGAAGGATGTATGAGTCATTTTTTTTTACCTTACAATAATCTTCTCATCAACATAGTAAATTTACTTAAATTTTTAAAATATGTGATACATATCACATAGGTGTGATATTGTTATTTTGCATGATGTCATTTTTTAACTATTGCAAGCCTTTATTTCCAGCGAATGCCCATTTTTTCCATTCAACATTTTATTTCCATCAAAAATGGTTCCATCTTCATAAGTTACAACAGAAAAAGGCATACAAATATAATTAATGCCATTCAGAAGCTTGTGGTATTTGCAGCAGTATTAAACCCAAAAGCAAATAATTGCTATTTTGCAGCTTATGATTCTTAGATGTGGTGGCTGCATTAGTTTTCCTTTTTAGACTTTCTTTATTTTCACTTGGTGATCCTGCCAGTATGTCTCTTGTTTTTTTAACAAGCTTTCCTGCAGATTAGATAGTGGGTTGAGACAAATTTACCACTGACAGATTTTATTTATTTATGTAAAACCTTCATCCCAAAAGGAAAAAAAAAACTGTTTGCTGTAACTGCTTAAAAGTGTTAGCTGGAGTTTGGCTTCAATTTTGTGTACTTAAATCTGCTAGTACATCTAACACTCCCCTCCCCTCAAACTGACAACGCTGCTTTTCAGTAGTGCCCCTGTGCTCCTTCATTCAGAGCATAGGCGCTCTAACACAGGAGGTGAGTTCCTGGCCATATCACCAGGTGAAATTAGAGGGAAAAAGCAAAACAAAAAGAAAACTAATGCAGCCATCACATCTAATGATGTGTAAGATGCAATATATTCCATTTTTTAGTTTATGTTTCATACTGCTTTAAGGAATGAAAACCATTGTAATCATTATTTGATAACCTGCTATAGGACATGCAAATAGTAAATTATTCTAATTTGCATGATAAACCTTTAAAGAATTTAAAAAATATATTTTTGATTGAAAACATTAGAAACATGGCAATGAAAAGATTGTGTTACTTGTGATATTCTTTTTCTCCTAAAATAACTCACACACATTCACCACTTAAATGGAACTTCACTCTCTCAATAGACACTGACTGTTTTCAATCCTTATGCTGCTAGTATTAGTAAATAGATTTTTACATTTCTTCAGTTACTTATGGTTTGCAGGCCTCGTAAATGATGTCATACATCCCAGTAGCCTTCAGGAGAGGAGAAGGGGCTTTCTCATCTAAGCACAACCTCCTGTTTATATACCTGAGCTAAGGGCAGAGGGATTCCAGGAGGTAAATGCTACATGAATCATCTGCCTTTACTCAAGAAGTCCACAGCCAAAAATGTTAGGGGGTGTTTTTCAAAGTGATTTCTCAGCAGCATAAAGCATGGACACATGGATGGATGGGGGAGTTTGCTTTGAATATTACAAATGAATTCAATTGAGTTTTCAGCTTGTGGTGCTCAGATGTAGTGTAGTTCCACTTTAATGGCCCTGTAATTATTTTTATTGAAACATGCACAGCAAGTTAGTTGTGATCTACCCATCGCACACTACCCATCTCACACTCTATAAACCATAGTCCATCTCAGGATCGAGCAAGAAAGGGTGGCTACATTCTTACATACAATGTGACCTTAGAGAATGACTGTAGTCACCCACTAAGAGGAAGTCTGATCACAGCAGCAAGCAAAAGGAATATTGAGATTTGGAGGATGCTGTGAGAAATATAAGATACTTTTCTGAGTTAAGAGTGCATACCTAAAATTATTATTTTTTAAATCCGAGTTTAGTGTCACTTAAAGTCACTGATCCTACATATGTTTTTATCAGTAGGATCTTCCAAGATCCTGTCATTCATACCATAGAGTACCATAGAGTTTATCATTTTCTCTTCATTGATTGCTTTTTAAATTGTGTGTTTCATTCAAAATACCACAAAAGATGTAATACACATAAAATTCATACAGTGTTAATAGGCATCATACATAAACACTATTATTATTTTAACACTGTATTGAGCATCATTCTTTATGTGCGGATCAAACAGGATATTTTGAATCAAAATATGTATATGACATGTAAATAGTAATTTTAGATGATATGCGTTATAAAATCTTAAAGCAGAACCATACTACAAAACCAAAAACGCTATTTAATTCATTATTTAAAGAAAACTCCCTCATCCATCCATGTCTACATGCTTTATCGTGCTGAGAAATCACTTAGAACCCCCCCCCCCCTAGAATTTCTGGCCATGGTCATCTCGTGACTAAGAGCAGATGATACATGCATCATTTACTTCCTGGAATCCACCTGCCCTTAGCTCATGCATGTAGGCAGAAGCGTGTGCTGAGCTCTCCTCCTGAAGACTCCTGGGATGCATGACATTTGCCTAGGCATGAAACCAGAAAGTAATTGAAGAAATGTAAAATAAATGTTTAACTACTTGCCAACCGCAGATAGCCGAATGAACGGCTACACTGCGGCCGGCCATTTCTGGGAGGGCGTCATATGTGCGCCCCCGGGGGATCGCACCGGCAATCTCTGTGATTGCTGTGTCCTACGGACACAGCTGATCACGTGATGTGGTAAAAGGCCAATCACAGCGGCCTTTTACCACGTGATCAGCCGCGTCCAATGACACGCTGATCACCGGGAAATGCAATTGCCGGTTCTCGGCTGCACTTTCCTTGCGCTGTCAGAGTGCGAGGAAAATACTGCCGAGAATCGGCAGTTGTCAGAGCAGGGATCAGCACCGATCATCAGGGGCACTGATGATCAGTGCCCTGATGATCGGTGCCCAGCAGTGCCACCCACCAGTGCCACCCACCTGTGCCCAGCAGTGTGCCCACCTGTGCCCAGCAGTGCCACCCACCTGTGCCCAGCAGTGCCCACCAGTGCCACCCAGCAGTGCCACACACCTGTGCCCAGCAGTGCCACCTACCTGTGCCCAGCAGTGCCACCCACCTGTGCCCACCCACCTGTGCCCACCAGTGCCACCCACCTGTGCCCACCAGTGCCACCCAGCAGTGCCCATCAGTGAATCCCAGCAGTGCTGCCAGTCAGTGCCACCAGTCAGTGCCCATCGGTTGTGCCAGTCAGTGCCCAGCAGTTGCGCCAGTCAATGCCTAGCAGTGCCGCCAGTCAGTGCCCAGCAGTGATGCCAGTCAGTGCCACCTATCAGTGCTGTCTATCAGTACCCATCATCAGTGCCACCTATCAGTGCTGCCTATCCGTGACACCTCATTAGTGCTGCCTATCAGTGCTGCCTTATCCGTGCCACCTTATTAGTGCTGCCTATCAGTGCTGCCTATCAGTGCCCAGCAATGCTGCCTCATCAACGCACATCAGTGAAGGAGAAAAATTGCCTTTTTTGTTTATAGCGCAAAAAGTAAAAATTAAAAATGAAATACCACCAAAAAAAAGCTCTATTTGTGAGAAAATTGGCCTGGTAAAGAAGGGGGAATAAGTGCTCGGTAGGCAAGTGGTTAAGGCAAGTAAATATGATATACGGACTTGCCTATCTATTTACTAATGCTAGCGGTATGAGGAATAAAAATAGTCAATGTTGATGTATTTTTTATAATATGAGTTTAGAAAATAAGCAGTAGGAATTTGTGACACCCTGTCATTTATGTTATATAGTTCATTATTTTTATTTAATTAAAGCACACAATCTTTAAAACACATTTTACTATTGTGTGGGCATGCAGTGCAATGATAAAGTGTTACAGTTTTAAAAGGAAACTGATCCTTCCTAAATGTAAAAAGCAACAGTTCAGTTTGACATATTCGGTCATTTTACACACACACATATGTACACACACACACTAATTGTATGTGAAATCAAACAGTTAAAAGCCCCCACCGATATTAGTTCAACTTCTGATGAACTTTAATTAACTTCAGCCTCACTGGTCTGTGACATTTCATTTCCTATAGAGTATTGACTTATTCCAAGATTGGAGTGTCACTTCAAGTGTAAAAATATATTAAGCAATATAGTAAATCCTTTTTGTTGCCCCAAATCAATATACAGACTATTTTAATATCCACATCATGGCATGTATACATGTTAATGCACTGCTGACTTCCATTTGTAATATCATAAAATTCTTTATTAAATTTTGAAGGCAAACATTTCTTCCCTTCTCCACAAGCGTGTTATTTTTGTGCAAGTAATTCCATTCTCCTGATTAACACAAACTTCCTACTTATAGAGGTATAGGTCATTTATTTACTGTACTCATTTATATCGTAAATCAAAAAATAAGGATTTTTATTTTAAGGGTTTGTTTGGGGGAGGGTATTTCTTAAATCCAAAATGTATACATCCTTTATGTATTTGAAAGACTATGCACAGAGGAAGACTGAAGATGATAAGAATGAGGAAGTGGGATACCTTAGTAAAGTCTGTAAAGTCTTGTGAAAATTTTGGCCACAATGTCACTTCGGGGGATTTACTAAAATTGGAACACACAGAATCTAGTGTAGCTGTGCGTAATAATCAATCAGCTTCTAACTTCAGCTTGTTCAGTTAAGTTTTGTCAATAAAACCTGGAAACTGATTGGTTACCATGCACCAGATTCTGTGTGAACAGGTTTTAGTAAATCCCCTCCATGGTGTGGTACGGTAGGTAGGAGGACACCTGTACTGCAGATTTGGCCATTTTGTAGACCCAGTAATTCTTGAACATCATCAGTGGTTTTAGTGACCTTCCTTGTCCAGCTTAAGAACTAACATGATGCTCACAGAGTGAGTTGCACAAAGGTAGAGCAGCAAGATGACTCCTGAACACAAAAACAATTGGCACCATTCCATAGGCATTTACAAAGTAGGACTTACCATAAAAGATAAGTACGTTAGAAATTTAGTTAGCAAAGAAATAAACTTGTACCTTTTTAATGGAGTTTACAAATGTAAGCCTAGTACACATGATCAGAAGATCATACTAAAAATACCGCTTTCAAAGCAATCGTACGGTAATCTGATCGTTAGTACACAGCTTTCGTCCAAAATTATTTGAAGGGACAAGTACGAAAACGTTTATCGTTCAATACCAGATCGTACGATCTCTGTTTAATCAGTACAGTTTTCATATGAAAATACAATACAAATAAAGTACATCACTTCTGAATTTTTATTCTGTCGTACAAGAATGTTCAAAACTTTAGTAACCTCTTCATTTTTGATATGGGACAAGCATGCACTAGAAAAAAGATGATCATTTGTTCGATATTCTCATTGTGTGCACAGGGCTTTAGTCAAACCCTGACAGATCAGCAAGTCAAGACTGGTTTACAAAAATAGAGCTGGTACCTTTCACAAACAGTTTACAATGTGGTTCAAATCAAAACAGAGCTCTAAGTCAATGAATAAGAAAAAAATTATATCTTTATAGAAAGGCTGACAAAGTGAACTAAAAAATAGGTCACCTCACATAATGCTTTTTATATACATTTGATATAAAACACATTTTGGAATTCATGTTCAAGCTGTTGAGAATGATCAACTGGATGAGATTTCAAAAATGGTAAACAGTGAACAAACTGGGCATATAATGAACCCTCCTCAAAAAACTCCACTCTCTTGGCCTCCGAAACTCTGCTCTCTCCTGGTTCTCCTCCTATCTATCGCAACGCTTCTTCAGCATTACCTATAACTCTGTCTACTCCTCTCCACTTCCTCTTTCTGTAGGGATCCCTCAAGGTTCTGTTCTTGGACCCCCTCTTTTCTCCATCTACACCTCCTCCCTTGGGCAATTGATAAACTTCCATGGCTTTAAGTACCATCTCTATGCTGATGACATCCAAATCTATCTTTCTACTCCTCACCTCATCCCTTCTGTCTCCTGTTGCATTACTAGCCTAAGTGACATATCAGCATGGATGTCACTCCACTTCCTCAAACTAAATCTTTCCAAAATGGAGCTCATACTATTCCCTCCAGCCCATGCCCCCTCCCCTGACTTCTCCATCAAGATCAATAATACAACCATCAGTCCCTCCCCTCATGCCAGGGAACTAGGTGTAATCTTAGACTCCCATTTGTCCTTTCAGCCCCAAATCCAATCACTGTCCAAATCTTGTAGACTTCACCTCTCTCCAAGATATGCCCATTCTTAAACTCTGAAACCACTATGCAACTTATTCACTCCATTGTTATCTCTCGCCTTGACAATTGTAACTCCCTCCTTATTGGCCTATCTAATCGCAGGCTATCCCCTCTTAAGTCTATTATGAACACTGCTGCCAGACTCCACCTTACTAACCTTTCCATATTTTCCACCACTCTCTGCCAATCCCTCCACTGGCTTCCCATTGCCCAATGAATTAAATTCAAAACATTAACAATAACATATAAAGGCATTTATAACTCTGCCCCAAATTACATCACCGATCTTGTCTCTAAATATCACCCAAACTGTACTCACCGCTCCTTGCATGACCTCCTGCTCTCTAGCTCCCTTGTCTCCTCCTCCCATGCTCGTCTCCAGGACTTCTGCAGAGCCTCCCCCACCCTCTGGAACACTCTACCCCAATCTATCCGACTATCGCCTACTCTGCCCACTTTTAGGCGATCTCTTCAGAGAAGCCTATCCTGCCTTCAGCTAATAACAGAATCTTTTATTCCTCCTATCAGTTCATCCCCCAGTTATTACCTTTTGTACCACTAGCCCCTCCCTCTTAGATTGAAATCTCCAAGGAGCAGGGCTCTCCTAACCCTCTTGTATTGAACTGTATCATTGCTGTATTGTCTCCTTTTATATTGTAAAGCAATGAGCAAACTGTTGGCGCTATATAAATCCTGTATAATAATAATAATTGCAATAACTAAAGACTGTAAAACACTTCAGGCTAATGCCAATCAGATTTTTACCAAAACATCAGCCACCACAATGTTCTTTAATTCTCCCTCTACACAACACATTTAATGACTCCTGCAAGGTTTTTATAGGGAGGGGAAGGAAGTGTTATCAGTTGAAAGTCAACTGACCTATCAGTATGTTTTTGAACTCTGGGAACAAACCAGTGAAGTAATTACTCCTTGTTACTAACTACAGAGAAAACTTGTGGTACCGCTCCAAGCCGGCAAGCAGAAAAGGATTACCCCACCAGTATACAGAAGGTGGGAGCCGGAGCCCGAAGTGTTTCTAGGGGCTCCAAAGTGACAGAGAAATGGATGCCAATCTAACCAGCACAATGAGTCAGGTGTATGAGATGGCCTCAGCCACTCCGGCCACACCCTCTGACACATTTCACTCTGTTCACTCTGTGACCAAGCCCCGATGGGTAGGGTGAAGCGCATCAGAGGCCGTGGCTGGAGTAACGGCTGAGGCCATCTCATAGACCTGACAACTCCTTACTGTTATTGTTAAAGGATAAGTTCACCTTTGGGAACATGTTACATATTCCACCTGTTTTTAGGGTGGAACATGGGACATGTTCACATAGCTGCAGCAGCACCCGCCGCACCCCCTCCCTCTGCCAGATAATACAGGGAGATGTTTCTCCGTACTATCTGTCAGATTTGAAAACAGCGTGGCCGTGCAAGGCTCCGCCCACACAGCAGCGTCATTCTTTCACAGACTTTCTTAGCGGCTGTGCGCTTGTAGTTTTCAATGAACTACCATGGCGCAGTGGAGCACCATGGTAGTTCATTGAAGCTTCCTGTCAGAAGATCTGCTTGTTCATACATCTCGTACGGCAAGCAGATATACTGACAGATCTGCAGGAGACCTGCATGGCATTAGTGATCTATTGAACTCTGGTGCAATGCTTCCTACATAGAAGAAAAATATATTTGAAATATATTTTAAAAATATTCTTCCCAAATATATTGCCATATATTTGAAATGCTACAATTGTGGCCATACTCAATATATTTCAAAATATAGTTATATATATATATATATATATATATATATATATATATACAGTATATATATATACACACACATATATATACACACATATATATACACACACACACACACATATATACACACACACACATATATATACACACACATATATACAGTGGGGATCGAAAGTTTGGGCACCCCAGCTAAAAATTTGTATTAATGTGCATAAAGAAGCCAAGGAAAGATGGAAAAATCTCCAAAAGGCATCAAATTACAGATTAGACATTCTTATAATATGTCAACAAAAGTTAGATTTTATTTCCATCATTTACACTTTCAAAATAACAGAAAACAAAAAAATGGCGTCTGCAAAAGTTTGGGCACCCTGCAGAGTTAATATCTTGTACTGCCCCCTTTGGCAAGTATCACAGCTTGTAAACGCTTTTTGTAGCCAGCCAAGAGTCTTTCAATTCTTGTTTGAGGTATCTT